CTCTTGAACTTTTCTCACTATGATGTTCCGCCCCTCTGTGAAGTCCGAAGTCAGCAAAATGACAAGTAATAACTATCAAAACGCTTGTCATTTAAAATAAATGAATGAATCACCCTGTATTTTCGTTGTACTATTCACCTTTTCTGTCTTCATATGGCTATTTGTGCAAAATTACTAATTCGGTGATTGGACGCGCATCCGCGTCACCAGAAAATTAAATTCCATCTAAGATAGAACAAATGAGCCAAATCTGAAAAATCGGCCCTTCATCACCTATCATACAGTGAGATTTTTACGTTTTCATATGCTTCCTCCTTCTGGACTTAACAAGCGGACAGTAGTGATAATTGAATTGTTGATCAATGGAGTTGGCCATTCCAGCGAGAAATGAGCAATTTCAGTCATTACCTGGCCTCGCCAATTAGTATTAATTAATTTGCAGTAGTAATCGATTTCTTCTTTCTTCACTGACTTATACTGGAGCAAATGCGCTCACTGGCCCTTGAGACAATCAATATCAACTATCATGCAGATCAATGGCACCGAGTCTTTACTGATGGGTCATACATAGAAAACCAAGCAAACATTGGTGCAGGTGTCTTTTCGGAACTCTTCTCTTTCTACGCAGCAGCGGGACACAATAGATCTGCTTTTGAAGGAGAAATATAGACCATTAGGATAACACTATGCAAATTATTTTGCCTGGATACGAAATTCACCAAAGCAGTGATACTTTCGGACTCACAGTCAGCAATAAACTCAAGCGGTGATACTTTCGGACTCACAGTCAGCATAAACTCAATTATACTTTTTTCACAGTCAGCGAGAAACTCAAGCGGTGATACTTTCGGACTCACAGTCAGCATAAACTCAATTCGGTGATACTTTCGGACTCACAGTCAGCAATAAACTCAATTGGAAATAGAGAGCCACCTAAAACAGTTAAGATAAAGGAATGTGGAAAAATCTATGAGCTGCTGAGAGAGAAAAACAAACCAGTGGTCATACAATGGATTCCTGGTCACTGTGGCATTAAAGACAATGAGCTTGATGACACACATGCTAAGAAGGGGACAACGATTTTGCAATGCATGGAGCGGCCGATGTCTTTCCACAAAATGAAGGCCTTAATCAGAAGAGAATTCCAAACTTCAAGGTGCAACGAACTTAAAGCTCAAACAAAGGAGAAACAGTGGACAGTGGCACTCTCTGACATACCCGACTGGCCAAGAATCGAAGCCGTTGCTGAGTTTAGACTACATACCGGACACGATTGCTTGGAAAATCACCTTCACAGATTGGGAGTATACACTCAACCCACATGCCCTCTATGTAACCTACAGGAGGAAAAGGAGAAGACCCTAAAGGCAACGGCGGAAACCCAGAGATACTGGGATGCAAGAAGACAGCTAATGAATTGATATTAATTAACTGCTATAAAGGAACCCCCACCCTTGGGGGAAGCTGAAGTCAAAGTTTAAGGGCTAATGATAAATATCATAAAGCCTGCTATTTGAAATAAATAAATAAATGATTTTTCGATTACTTGAATGATGTTTTAATTGGATAAGTGATAAAGATCTGCAACCTTGTTGCTTACTGTGCTTGACCAAACTGGGTCATTTGTCGAGATTAATTTTAGAAATAAGAACCATGTGTGACACATCTACAGTAGGTTAATAGTAACCTTGATTTAATTGGTGCACTCAATAATCTGTTATTCAAATGATCACAGATCGCTACATTGCGTCTTCTGAATTTCAGAAATGGATCTCATTTGATTTAAGTCAAAGACATTATTTTTTATCGATACTCAATCTTTTATATTGTCATTATGCCTGAATATTTTTACATAGGTGACCGTTAATAGTATGGGCTGAATGCATGATAAAAGGAACACCGTACGGGAAATCGGAATATCAAATGACACAATTTAATGGAATAGATATGAACTTGAGTTAATTGAGTTAACTAGAATATTAATGAGACCCATATTATAGCTATTAATTGAAAAAAAGAAATAATTAAAACGGTTGGAATGGCAATCGATGGCTTTTTATTAGGTTTAAACATTTTCCACATAAATCATTCTAATAAATGCGTGTAAAAGCTTGGTAAAAACGTCCAATATTTCAATCAAGTTCTGAATTGTCCAATGCCTCGGTATAGAATTGCTCAACAATGATTAAAGTGAGCAGCACTGCATTCTCTACAAATCATACACTTAGGTGTACGTAGCAAGCAACTGTTAGGTATATGGTGTGTGAATATTTAGCAAGAACCGTTGGGCAAATACTCACTGAGCAATAGCTAATGAATGCGCTAGCCCAATAAATGAACGCTCTATTTAACTCATAAAATGGAAGAATGCTCTAGCTCTAGTAACCTCACTTATAATGCCTAATTCACTTTTTTTACCTATAAATTTATTGGGTATACATTTCTGCTAATGTCTTCTATATAAATAAGCTTATCAAATATATAGACGTCGTTGTAATCCTTTTACTCGGTTGGAGAAAGTTTTAATTGAGTTAGTCGCAAACCACTCATTGGGTACGGACGAAAGTAAAGTCACTAAGCTTAACAGTATTGTTGTATATGCATTGCGCTAAATTTTGGACATCACATCATCTCAACTTGCAACGTGAAAAGAGTTATGTGGCATAATCTAGTTAAATGCTGATAGAAGCACAAAAATGTGAAAAGAGGTAGAACCATGGATTGCGCATTTTCACCTTAAACAGGCTTCCTCTAGGCTATCACCATAAGCATGCTTAATGCTGAAGTACTGTTGAGTAGTGATTTTACAAATTCAGTTCATAATACATTTCTAAATGAATCTTTTGCAAATATATAAAAAGACAATTTGGTTCAGTGACTTTCATTTCCTTCAAATGAATCGTTAGTTGTTATTTGTTAAATAATAAACCACCTTTGATAGCGTTGCAATTTATTCTTGCCTAACGAAGACCGCTAGAACTATATCTCTAATTAATTTTCCCGTCAATATTCGCAGAAGGGCTTAAAAATGTTTCAATAAAACATGTAAATTGGCATTTGTCATTCGAGGTTGATATATTCTAACTAATTGTCCACTTTGATAATAAGAAAAATTTGTTATGATCAATTTATTTTTTACTTAAGCAAAACCCCTGGTCATTAAATTGCCCTGATGTTATTTAATCCATTTACTTAATATCAATACAGTAAATAATATGATTTGAGTGAAATTAAGGAAATGATATTTATGGCATTTGAATGCAACGAAAACTGCCATATTCTTCTCAGATTCACTTGCCCATTGTTTTCTCTTATTTGGCATGTTTGTCGTTGCAATATCCAATGAACACTTCACCTTTCAAATCCAGTAAACTAAATTGTTTGAATTCCGTCATGCTTAAATAATTAATGATCACATATTTTGAGTAATGTTGCTCCAAAATTAGTAGTAAATTGATTCTCTGAAATTAGAGACTTTTCATTTACACTCGCCATTGCCCGTTGTTGCAGGTTGTCTGTATTCTGAAAATTTACAATTTTGACCTTCAGATACTATTTGTGTGCATGAAAATTCATTTGTATTTTCCTCATAAATTTTGAAATAAATTGAAAATATCCTCATCATATTTACCTAACTTTCATAAAAAATATGTGTAAGAGCTCAATAAAATTTTTATTCGTTAAGAAGTTTCTAAATGGGTACTTTGATAATTTAAATCGATACGCATTAAGGCCATAAAGTGTGCCAAAGGATTACAACTTCTTTATTACGCATGATAAGACATGAAATGTGTTCCGTTAAAAGCCTCGATCTAGTTTCATTTGCAAGCAACTTTCCATTTTGGACGAAATTGAAATCTCCGCCATTTACACTCTGATTAACTCAATTGTAATCGTACTTTATTTCCATTTGAGATAGATAACTTCACTCTAATAAACCAAGTGAGTGAATGATTCTCATTTAATTCAAGCATTATGTGGTCTCAATGCCTTGGTTGCTCGTTCTAGTGCTTGTACACCAAATGGAAGGCAACTCAACACTTGTAAATTGTCATCTCTATTTCTATGCTATTATTCGAGAATGCTGTTCGATCACGGCTTTCAACACAATTTAAATGCTTTGAAAATGTCAATAAGAAGATTCGGAAAAGATGTTTCCTATTATAAAAGCAAGGGAACGAATCATTTGATTAACCATTCCATGCAAAGTTCGAATAGATAGAATAAATGCTTAATCGTTAGCCTGGATACATTCTTAGGTTGGAAATATATATATATATATTTATTTATTTATTTCAAATGGCAGGCGTTATGATGGGCATCATTAGCCCATTAGCCCTTAGGAAGATGAACATCCAGGTGGCAAAAAGTCGAGAGGGGGACAGAATAATGATTCACAGAAGTAAAAGAGACAGACGGACACAAAGGTAGAAAAAAGGTGAGGTGAATACTGTGAAATTATTCGAATATGAAACGCAATGGGATCATGGTAGTTTGAAGTCGGAAGTCAACTGCCGATTAATAGACTTTTTTGCCGTAAGATTATACGTTGCCCAGGGTGCACCACGTGGAGGTAAGTCTATTGCACACCCCTGGAAACATATATTATATTGATTATTTTCAGCCAAAAACGAAAGCAAATAATACCATTCACACTGTTTCTCTTTTTATCAAGGAAGTGGGAACCAAAAGCCTTCATTACTGACACTGGTCAGTTTTGTTTAATTCATAAAATGTTATACTAAAAGTGGCAATAAAACTACCTTAGCATTTTCTTATCATTTGTGAACATTATTGTTTGGCGGTTGCTTAGAATGGAATAAAAAGATCTTTTCTCTTATGCTTAAAAGTATTTCATTAAGATCTGCTAAATTAACCTTAAAAGCTTATAGGTTCATTAAAAAATCGAGCTACATTTCGAATAATGAATAAATATTGAAATTTGAATAACCAACTACGCCTGAATTACTTGTGGGTTTCTAGTAGTAATGCTAAATAAGTTACTTGAGTTTATTTGTTTTAAAAACTTAAAGCGTACAATAGTCATGAATAATAATTCCGACAAGGTAGTTAGATTTTTGCTTACTTATTCTTGGATTATCAGCAAAAAATATTGTATATGGACCATTTATACATTCTGAAGCCTTATTCCTTGTCTCCACAAAGCACAACGCACATCAAAAAGGATAATTAATAAACAAAATAGCTTGATGCAGACAAAAGCCAGATTGAGGAATGATGCTTGTTGTTCAGGTTAAGGTGAGAGCTCAAAAACGAGACGATTTTTTCCAGTAAAGTCGACGACGGACCAAGGGGCCGTCGTTCAGACTAATTCATTTCTGGACAAGAATAGTCCGTATGAACGCGACGGTTTCTACTTTATTCACCTAAAATGTGAATTATAGGACATTCACGTACAATTTTCACATATGCCTTAGGATCTCGCGTAGGTTTAGAGAATCTTATCTGAGTCAAATTCTTCCCTTCTTAATCACGAACTTAAGTAACTGCACAGACTATAAGTGAGAAAAAGGCAAATCCTAACTTCAAAAAGTTGCAAATATTTAACTATTAATAAATTCTCAGTGAGTGCTCTTTAAATATGTAACGTAGGGACCTAGTTTAAAAAAATGTCAATGGCAAGTAAATATGTCTATTGGGATATAGACGAAAGGAAGAGACATGTTTACGAAAAATGTGATTTATTCCTATTTAACATAAAATAATTAGATATTTCCAAGACTGTAATAATTCCCTCCCCCCCACCCCCCAACTCCCAATAACCCAACGCATTGGAAATGGTCGCGTTAATGATATTGAGCTAAATATACAAAGGAGAATGAATAATTTCATATTTGCCGGTCAAACATAAACTCTTAATAGCTATAAGTTAAGGCTTCCAATCGAGTTCCTGCTAAAGTGAATTGATGTCGCATAGATGAATCTATTTCATATTACTTACACCTCACTATGGCGACAAAGTTGTAAACTACATATGCATGATTTGCATGAGCATCTTGGCCAAGTCAACACTTCAAATATGCCATGATAGTGCTAAATTGAACTTCAAAATTTTCATAAAGACTTTCAAGGGTATTCGCACTAAAGAACATTATTAAATGGATACTTAAATTTAATTTTTTCACTTTGAATACAATTATTAAAAATACATGGAATAGACAAAAATAGAATCTTTCTGTTCTCGCATCTATAGTATTTTAGACATGCGAAATTCATTTCTTAATGCTTCAAAGCGATTGGACTCAGACGAGTTATTTCTAATGTGTTGGGTGTACGAAAGACTTACCTCTACGTGATTCACTTGGAGCAACATATTCCCAAACAGCAAACAAATTTATAAACCGACAGTTGACTTCTTATTTCAAGACACCATGACCACACTGTATGTCATATTCGACTA